GTCTGCCCATCGGAGGACGGGCGTCGTGTTCGTCTTTGCTGAAGCAATCTTCTTTCCTGAAGCAAGGATTCCAGGAGCAATCCACCAAAAGAGTGGATTGCTCCTGGAAGGATGTCAAGGAGGGGCAAATCCAAAGCCTTTCCTGAGTTTCCTATGGAGCTGAACAAGGCGCAGCAACCAAAAACGTGCCCTGTCCCATTTCTGCAGTTTTGAGGGGTTTGTGCGATAGGACAGCAGCATTTGCTGACCTCCTGTGCTCAGCTGTGTGTGTTAGAGCCAGCTGCACGGTGCTCCATTTTCTGCCCTTCATTGCGTGAGTGCTCAGGTTTCCTCTCAGATATCCACCCTCGTTTTTTATGTATTCCTGTATTCTGCATACTGAAAATAATTTGCTATTTATATGGGATTTTATAACTCAGAAAATATATGTTTGTAATGAAGACGTTTTAAAAATATATAAGAATGTATGTAATATGATGATGTCTATTTATAAGAAGTTGTTTTGAGGTGCAGGCCCTAGAKGTTTTTATTAAAACTCTGCTTTGTTACTAACTCAGTGTGCTTCCTCACTGCTGCATTCCCAGGGAGGAGCTTCGGCTGCAACCGCTCTTGAGCTCAGTTGCCTCCCGCAGGATGATCCAGGGCTCCAGACCTGTGAGTTTTGTTGCCACGGCTCCATTCCCGCTTCCCTGCTGCTGCGTGGGGCCTGTCTCCAGCTCTCCCCACATGTGGGGATTCCAGGGGGAGGATCCTTCTGTGCTCCAGCCTCCCCAAACCACAGCTTTGGGGCACGGTAGGTAGGGATTTGGAGCAGACCTGGGTTGCTTCCTGTTATCCTGCTCTGCTGTTGGACACRGTGCAGCAGTGCATCCCGAGCAGCCCCGTGCCCAGGGCAGCTGCTGCGGGGCCTGTTGTGGAGAGAGCACTGACATGTACGGGTACCTGAGGGGGAATGTGGGGAGGAAGGGGCCAGGCTCTTCTCAGTGGKGGCCAGTGACAGGACAAGGGGTAATGGGTGCAAGTTGAAACCCAGGCAGCTCCATGTGCATGTGAGGAAGAACTTGTTTGGTGTGAGGGTGCCAGAGCCCTGGCCCAGGCTGCCCAGGGAGGCTGTGGAGTCTCCTTCTCTGGAGATCTTCCAAAGGCGCCTGGATGCCGCCCTGTGCCCCGTGCTCTGGGTGTCCTTGCTGGAGCAGGGGGTGGGAAGAGCTGGAAGGGGCCTCTGGAGATCATCTTCAACCCCTCTGGGATTCTGTGATCTCTTTAATTAKCCAGAAAAATCTCAATTGTGACAAACCAAAAAAGAAAAAAAAAAGGAAAAAGAAAAAAGCTGCAAACTTCTGTCTGTGTAAAAACTCCACGTTCTGGGCAGTTTTAGGGGAACTGTTTGGAAGTGAAATGGGAAGGCTGTGATCGCCGTAGAAGAGAAGCTCTACCAGATGCAGTGGTGCCTGGGGGGTTTCGTTACTATTGTCTCCATCTCTGAGGTAACATCTAGCGTCTGAAAAGCAAAACACGACCCTTGGTTACTTCCAAACCAACAACAAAAATATGTATATAAAAAAATACGATTTGGCTGTGACTTAGCATTGTGGGTCCATCATGAAGGCCACTGGTGGGATCTGGGAATGACATTTGCTGTGCAGCGAGGGCGGCCCGACTTGCCCGCTTGGCTCTGGCGCCGGTTCGGGCCGAGGGCGCCGGAGCCGCGGGCTGCAGAGCAACCAGGGCAGCSCGGAGCAGCCACGGCCGGAGGCACCAGGACACCCAGCCCCACGCGGCCGCCCCACGGACACCCAGCCCTGGTCTCGGGGCGGGAAAGGGCCAGCGCTGCCCGAGAGCTGCGGAACAGGGACATCACATCAGAGARGCCGGTTCCTTCCACGGCAAGCCGGGATTTGAAAGCCGGATTTCCAACCTTGGCAATAAGTGACTACAGATCCGTGTGGATTCGGGGTTCCCCTCGTGAGGGCGGCACTCCCGCGCGGAGCCGCCGGGCCCTCGCTGTGAAGCTGCCGCCGTCGCAGCTCCGAGCAGCYGAGCCCTGGATCCCGGCAGCCAAGCCGAGGGGCAGCGGCGCCACCGCTTCCGCGGGGCCCGTTCCTGCGGGATAGGCCGGGTACTCGCATGGAGGCCCTGGGGTAACAGCCCGGCCCGTGGCGCCCTTCCCGCGCTGAGGGAGCAGCCCCGGCGCTGCTGGCACCAGCGGCTCCTCCACGGCCCCCGCTCCCTCTCTGGGGGTCCGCGGGGCCCCGGGCGGCGCAGGGAGGCAGCCCAGGCCTGCCCGGCCCCTTCGGCCGGAGCTGCCGCCCGGAGCCCGCAGAGCCTCCGCCGCCTTTCACCCGTGGCGGGGGGTAATTGAAGAACAGAAACAGAAGTGAACACAGATTTGGGTTGAATTGGGCTCATTTTACTGAACTCAGCACAGCAGCTTCGCCTCCCGCAAGGGCTGCGGGCAGCACCAACAGCCAGAATCCCTGGTGTGCCCTGGGAGTGGGAATCCTGGTGGGAAGGCACAAACCAGCCTGAAAGAGCTGTGCATCCCCCCCCGACCTTCAGCCTCTGGGTGACTGTGATCACCCAGCATCGCTGTGCAAACTAAGGTAGAGATCAGTCTCCATCCCTGTAAATAAAAACGTGACTGCAAAGCCCGGGCTTTGCCCATCTTAGTGGTAACAGCCCATGAGCAGGGAGCAGAAATGCCTGGTGGGGGGAAAGGAAAAGAAAGAAGACTTGGTACCTCCATTCCACATTAGGATCATAGAATCATTATGGCTGGAAAAGACCTTCAAGATCATCGAGTCCAAATGTAAACTCCTCACAACCAMCCATGTTAAACCATGTCCCTAAGCACCTCATCTAGACGGTTCACCTGGCAGTGCCCAAGACTCCACCACTGCTCTGGACAGCCTGTTCCAGCGCTTGACTGCTCTTCCTGTGTAAAAGATCTTCCTGATGTCTAACCTGAGCCTCCCCTGGCGCAGCTTGAGGCCGTTTGCTCCTGTTCTATCTGCATGATGAGTTTGAGGAGGAAGGCAGGGAGCAGAGACTTAACTCATCCCTCCTCCGCGTAAACTGACGGCGTAGGCCAAGGACAGAGGAACCGGGTTACGATCTCTCCAGGCTGCAGCAGAGCAGAGGAATCCTCCTCATCACATCACTGCCCGGAACTTCCAGCCAGGAACAAGCAGCTTCTGCAGCTGGTGCTGAGCGTAACACACCTGCAGGTTGTGCCTGCTGAAAACAGGAGCAGGGCAGAGCGGAAAGGCCCCGTCAAGGGGACGCAGCTCTTGGAGAAACGTCCCCACCGCCCCGGCCCGAAAGGGAGAAGCTGCCACGCGAGGGCTGAGCTCCTGCTGCGCACAGAGCAAGCGGCACGTGGTACAGAACAGCCCTAGCCCTGCAGCTTCTCTTGTGGCTTGTCACGTTATCCCCGAGCTGAGACGCTCCGACCGCGGCTTTGCCCGTACAGTTAATCGYAGCTGAACTTACACAGACGGTGAATCTGCCCCGCCAGCTCCTGAACAACCGCAGCCCGCAGAGGGCTCAGTGTGTCCAAGCGGACCCTTCTGCAACCAAATAAAGAGCCTCAAAGCCTTCTGATGACTGCAGACAGGGATATGGCCCAGTTTGGGGTAGGGAAGCACAGCTTTGGAGCCAGGAGAAGTTCCCCATCCTCCATGTCCTCCTCACCTTGCCGGAGGTGGGGCTGGTTCCAYGCAGGGCTGCTAGCAAATGGAGCGAGACCTGGAGAAACCCAGGCCCAAACCCAGCCCCGAGCTCCTGGACGGGCAGGCAGGACCCTGTTCGTACCAACCGCATCCGTGGGCATCGGGGCAGGAGCAGAGCCAACCCAACGCGGCCCGGCTGCAGCTAGGACAGACCTTCGCACGTAGGAAGCCAGACAGGCAGTGACCCAAGTCTCCCAATGACCCACCAGGAGCACGGCCTAGGAGTTCAAGTTCTTCCTCCGGGGGCCTCTCTGATGCCTAATATGATTCTGAGAAAAGGTAGGTGTTATTTTGGCCATCTTTCCTCACCCAGAAAATGCCGAATTACACACAGAATGGTTAAGGTTGGAAGAGACCTCTAGAGATCATCTAGTCCAACCCTAGGTTGGACAAGCAGGGACACCCAGAGCACGTGGCACAGGAATTACCAACTATCCATGCAATTCCTCTTTGAGGAGACATACATTTTGTTCAAAATGGGCCCCTTCAAGATTTCACTTTTCCCTTGGCAGACCCATTCCTTTCATTTTCCCCTACCAGGCTCTTCACCTGGCAGGCAGAAGGTAACATCATTGGAAAAAAAAAAAATCACTGTAATGAACTGTTTTCTCCAGATCTCCAGGTAGACTCTGCTCTGCGTAGAGCAACACGAAAACCCTACACACAGTTTTAGACAAAAGGCCCTTGACTCTTATGCGGGATTAGAAAATAAAACTTGAGCCCTGGTACAGAAAAGTCCGCTGAGATCCAGCCCTCCCACCAGTACAACCTGTGCCGGGCAGATAAGAAACCAGCATTAGGGCAAGGCCTAAAGCAAATCCAGGCTGGGTGTAAGCAGCTAAGAATCATCAGCCAGAAAGGGCAAAGCAGGAAGCAGAGAGTTGCAGTTTCTGATTTTCTTGCTCATTCAGAGGAAAAAAGGGGGGGAAAAAAAMCAACTTTTTCAAGTTGCTTGAGTTTAACCAGTGTTAAAAAAAAGGGAGGAGAGAGAGAGAGAGAGGAGGACACAGACCTCCTATGAGGAAAACACCCAACCTGTCACCTGCACAGACTCGGCTTCTTTCACTTCCCATCCTTCTCASCAGCCAGGTCATTCCCCGTTTCCCACCCTTTATTTACCCCCGTGCCACCTCAGGCCMGGAGCCCTTTGCTGCTCGCAGCAAACCAACCTGCTACTTCCCTTCCCTGGGGCCTCGCCAAGGGCATCAACAGAAGCCACCAACATCTGCCACTGCCACAGAAACCTTTATTTTTCCATAGTTAGTCCTCTCAGTTGCAGCATTCATTCCATGGTGAATAAGGCCAGAGTCAGCATTATCTTCCTATATATATATAATATATTAAATCGGTTTTGTTGAGAAGAAACCACACTTTGTTTTTAAAACGTGGACCCTGGTGGAGTAGCTGTTTAACCACTGCCGTGCGCCAGCAGCTCAGCAACAAAGGGCTGTTCCTCAGTTTCCCAAAGCACCTTCTGYGTCTGTGGCACTCGTTCTCAGTAGTGTATTTACAGTATAAAACCGATATTGCTCTTTTCTTTTACAAAAACCTCCAGCAAGGGCCGAATGCTGCCCCTGCGACGCGGTGGCGCTGCCGGCGCCCAGGGGCTCCCCGATCCCTGCGAGCGGCGCTGGCCCTCAGGGGGCCGAGGCTGCGACTCTCCCTCCTCGCTCTTTTCCAGGATTTTCCCGAATTTCTCCATGTCAGAACACACTAGCGCTTCCCTTATAAAGGGCAGGACRAGCTAAGCCGTGGCCTCCATTGGTACCTCCATGAGGAAAGAGCAGCCTTATTACTTACTGCCGCCCTGCCTGCTGCCCAGCCCTCCCGCACATCCCACTCCATGTTCCCGTGGGATCTGCTGCCTTCCAGGGCAGGAACAACCTCCCCGAGCAGCCGCTGCGGTGCCTCGCAGCCCTCAGAGCCATTCAGCTTGACCATAGACACYGTGTTCTGCTCCTTTCATCTCCAGAAGGTCCATCCCCATCTCRCCAGTCTGAGGACCTCCCACCTCCAACTTAAAAGAACAGAGTTACACAATCAGTTTCTTGGGGTTTTCTTTTTTTTTGTAGAGCCTTGATTTGTTTCGCTGCCCCTCGGCGCTGTCTCAACATATTGCTCAACAGTCTCTGTTATAAAAAACGTCCCGTGTGTGAGGCAGGGAGCAGAGAGCTCTCCCGGAGGCGCTAGTGGCCGCTGCTGTTGGCTGCAGTCGGAGGTAAGTGGTTGCTCGTGTGGCCATCCGGCAGCGGCACCTAGGTGGGCACGAGGCAAGCGTCACCCGGGGCGGGCACGAGGCAAGTGTCACCCGGGGCGGGCACGAGGCAAGTGTCACCCGGGGCGGGCACGAGGCAAGCGTCAGCCGCGGCTCGTCCAGGAGGCCACTCCCAGCCCTGCTGTCCCCAAACCCTTCCCTATCCTGCCACCTTGGCTATAAGGCCTCCCCAACAGAACTTGCTCACATACTCACCCTCCCTCACTCACTTTAACCTGTCTGCTGGCAAAGCTCAACCAAAATTGAAGAAATAAACAGAAACCTTAAAGACAYTGTATAGGAAAAAAGGAGAGAAAATAAACCCAGGTACTTGCTAGAGGACCAATTCTGTAACACTCAAGAAAAGGAAAGGTAAAGAGTACTTGACTTTTTCACTCCGTTTGGCCTGGAGTTTCTTAGAGAGGCCTCYTCTGTTCCCCTCCTACCTTGTAGGTTAGGTCCTCTTCCTAAAACGTTACCTTTCCTGACTGCTTTTAAAAGCTGCTTCMTCTCTGCACTCACACATGCGTGTGAGAGCTGTTCCACTATAAAACTGCACTAGGACCGAGTCCTTAGGTTGCAACAAGTACTCTCCAAAATCTGACCACCCTCCTCAGGAAGCTGCACCACTTACAAAATATTTATAAAATGTAGTTTTTCTTACTGGTGTGGATCTGTAAGAGCCCAGTCGGAAACGGCAAAAAATAACTTCTGCTACAAATCTTCCGAAGCCGTGTAAAATTCCTGCATCAAAGAGAATTTGTCAAAGACCGTAACACTTAGAGGAAGATAACAGCAAAACTATCCAAAACTTAAACATGGTACAGTGCAATAAACCACCATGTAAACAGTGAGAAACTAACATTAGAATAAAAGGAAGTATCAGGAGAAAGAAGTATCCAAGGTATCAGCAGTTACCTGTAGTTGAAAAAATCCCCCCAATAATGCCACAAAGCCTCACTAAAAACTGCCAAAACGGCATGTGTTCTTCGGTCACTGTCACCATGAGGGAGCTGATGTCGTATTTCATGAATATTCCCGACACTCCGTGGCTGCCGGCTGCGTGGTTAATGACCCTTTCCTGGGAGGAAGACGGGAGAGAAGGGAGAAACACATCACACATCACAGCAATGCCAGGGAAAGGGATTAACAGGTGTGCTGACAAACGGCTGCTTCATCCGAGTTAGCCATCCATGGAAGAACAGGGAGCATCAAGATGCTTTGGCTGAGCCTTCCAGAAACACYCCAGACAAAGAGAGCCCCAAGTAAATAACGTGACTGCTGTAAATCTGTACTTAAAAAAACTCTGCAGGACAAAGCCAAGAAAATCCCTGGTTTTGGTTGTTAGCCAGAGCTGCTGGTAAAGACAGTGGCAGGAAGGCCCTGCAGAGGGAAGGAGAGGGAAGGCCCCACATTCCTGCAGAAATGCATAACAGGAAGAGAGAAGGCAGGGGCACAAAACTGAGCAGGGAGGCCCTGTATCCCGCCTACGGATCTAACCTGGCCTTGGCTCAAGAAACATGCAGAATACAGGTTACAAAATTCAAAGCAGAGGGCCCCTTCAGGAAATAGAGACCGTGCAACTTTGCCCCAGTCAGCTAACCTGGGCACGTAACATACTGTTGCCTTTGTTACCTCACACAGTTTGGTGCTGGAATGATGTATTATTTAGGATAACAGCCACACAGGCTTTGGCAAAAATAAATAAAAACCTGTATTTTAAGAGCAAGACAGCATTCTGCATTAAAAGATGGAGGAGGTTTCCTAAGAGGAAACCAGGAGGGTTTAGGAAACCTGGAGGACCAGGTTTCCTAAAACAGCAAAGAAAACTGGGGCTAGTTAAACAGCCCCTGGCCTAGGACCTCGTCCTGACTTTATTTGTTCTTTCCCTTCTACGGTTGCCCTAAGCCTTTTTGGTCTTTTTGCAATTAAAAATACTAAGAAAAATTGAGGAAAAATACYGAGTTAAATCAAATTCATAAAATCATAAAATTTCAGTCCCCAAAGATGCATAAGCCTTTCTCCTCAGACCATTCTGGTTTATTTCCAGACTCGAGTGCTGCAGATTTAACTGCTAACCGTTGCTGAAGGCATCTGAGGTGTTTCATGCAGCTCAGCTGTCAGTGACGCCTTGCTGGGATCAGATCTGTTCAGCGTGGCTAACTGGAGTATCCCAAGTACCAATCCCACCTCCCAAGCTTCACTGGCTTAATTAAACCTCAGTGCAATCAAGTTTAAGGAGGCTGAGCTGCCTGCCTTATTTTCCAAGCTCCACACAGCTGCCTGCTCTGATACAACCCAGCCTGGAACCCTTCCTCCTTCCCCTTCTTTTAAAAAACTCTGAAAAAAGCTTAATTATGTGGCTTATGAATAAAAGAGCACAACAGAGCTCAGASTCAAGGAGAAACCATGAGGCACAGAGATGGCCCGTATGGAAAAGCCTTCTATGTGGACACTGCCACCTTATGATTGGGCACTGATATGTCCTGCACTGCAGTAATTTCGTTCTTCCTTTACAGAAACAAAACAAGACAGGTGAGAAAAGATACAAAATAGAGCTTTCTGTGTTGTTAGTTTTTCAATATTCTCACCCTCCACCACCAAGTCTGTCTCATTCAAGTGAGCTGGGCTGTTTGTTTTGTTTCTGAAGTAGGTAAGGACAGAAGTAGATTAAACACTTGTAATGTCACACTTGTAAACACAGGGCACAGACCTAGAGCTTCTGGACACACATACACACTAGGAGCATCCAGAGCAGCAGTACTGACTGGGTTCCTATCACCAGTTTTACTATCAGACTCCAGATTTACAGGTGCTAGACACTACTGCAAGAAGTCAATATGTGTCACTGAGCACAGCTCTTTCACCAGGAGTATTTTGCTGTTTGYAAATAAATCGGGTGCACTGGGATATTCTAGGGAGTCTCTGCCCATGCCTGAGGAGTTTTCAGAGGCAAGCTCCATTTTTTTCAAACCTTATATTTTGCTAAGAGCACTACCATGTTTTTCTCTGCATTATTTTCTTATTTCTACTCACCCTTTCTGTTACTGAAAACTGATGAGTTTCTGCTGAAATTTTGTATGTGTGGAGTTTGGTTGGCACAACTGTGATGAAGTACTGGAACATCTGGTTGTCTGAAACAAAACAAGTCTCAGCTTTGAACTAAGCACAGGGTAAAAGATCATCCAACACATGTGCAAAGAAGTCAAACAAATACTGTTTAAAATAAACTTAAATCAACTAAGCTGTTCACACTACAAACATTCTTCAGGGAGTTCTAACACTGCCACACTTACTTCAGCATCACCTGCATGCACAGGTTCAGCTTCCCTCGGCAAGACCACATTTACCACATTTGTGCTCAGAGATTTACACTTTACTCATGTAATAGAAAAGCTCCCTGATGTCAGACTGCTCAGGGTTTAAAATGCAATTTGCAGACAGATTCTTGGAGGGGACAGTGACTTGACTGGACTCCCGCCACTGACTGTGTGGACAGCTCTGGGAGCCCCTCTAAATGGGTTACAGTTTTTCTCTTGATTAGACCAACTTCTAGAAAACCCTTCCAAAGCAGTCTGCACATTTATGCATTTATGATCACCCCCTCCTCATTCTACAYCTTAAAGAGATCAATTTATTCCAAATACACAAAATCAGAATTGAATCTGTGAACATTTCCGTCGCATTCTAGCTGGAACATCCAACAGACCGACTGTCTCYGGAGCAGCAGCAGCTTTTGAAGGTTCTTTAGAAAATGCAGCTTTTGAGGGTCAAGGGGGAGGCGCAGGGGTCCCCTCCTGTGTRAGGTGGGTTCCTACAGGCCCTTGTTTATACAGGAGGAAGCTGAGCAAACGGGAAACCCTTCGTGCAGCCCTTGCAACACACAAGGAAGTGACAACCCAGAGGCAGTCATGGAACCTCCATGTCAGATTTGTAATCAATTCACTAGTTTTTAGGGGAGTTATGGGATCTAAATGGGATCCRTGAATCTCCCTTTTAATACAGGGCTTAAAAATTCTTCTTTTAAGTTCTCTACTAGAAGATATTGTCCATTTAAGATGCCACGTAGGAGAACAACACAAATCCAAATTTATTGCAACAAGCTATTTGTAAACCACAGCATTTGTGAAACAAGACAGTATTCTAATAAATGTAACACTATAGAAGGTAAAATACACAACACTTACGATCTGAGGCAATTTTTTCTGTTCCATCCAAAGGGTTGATAATTCCTGGAATAAGCTCTCCAAATGACAAATGGTCTATTCGATGAGAGAAGTTATAGGCTGAAAGACAACACAGAGGAACGAAACAAAGTTTTTAAACAAAATATGAAATTTTGCAAAGACAAAGATTTGTAATTTTGCAAAGACATAGTTATGTTCAACAATATTATACACTTMTGTCAATGTAAATTTATCTGCAGACACTTGGAAGTTTAACCAAGTGAAGTAACCCAGTAATCCACCTTCTTATCAAGGACTGCAGCAACACAGATTCAGTATCTAGACTCAAACTAAGAAAATAAGGTTTCTAAGCACACAGGTTGGATATTTTAAACCTTTTGAAGATTACATTTTGGAGAAAATACTATAGAATGAAATACAAGAATGTCCCACGGTACCTATATAATAGCAAAATACATCTGAAATTGCTCAGTATCATTATCATTGAAGCAACCAAAATATAGAGCTTGATAGTGTTTGATGTATAAAAATGATTGCTTCTGCTGAGTTTTAACACTCCCCAAAATATTCTCCACCATCTTTTGCAATGGAATTGTCCTGCGAGATCCCTGCAGCTCAAGTTCAACCTACACTAACGTTCAAACGGGAAGGCAGCAGGGGAAAAGCAACGGTCCCGGCTGCCAGGCAGGTGCTGGGAGAACTTACACTCGTGGCTCACGAGGGCTGCCAGGTGCGCGTGGCCTCGCGGGTGCGGGATTGCCCTGAAGAGAGGGAGACGGGTTAGGAAACACTCTTTAGTCAAGCCCCAGAGAAAGACACAGTTTTTCTAAAGAGGATTAGGTGGAAAAGCTTCCCCATTTATTTCACTAAATATTATTATATGTAAATGAACGTTATGTTTTTATTGCTACCGAGTATAGACAGCCTGAGTGATGTGGAGACAGATTCATGAAAACCTTCTTACACGAAACCAGCATCTTGCACTTTAAGGAACGCCAAGAACATGTAAAACCAGGAGACTGCAAGTAAAAAAACCCTATTAAGCTCTACAATAAGAAAAGCTGCAAAACAGCTCAAGAGATTAATGTAAACTCCATTGTATTTGCTCTATGACTAAGCTAGCTCTACACTCTGTACTTGCTCTATGACTAAGCAAATTCACTTCAGGTCTGGCCACTTGTTTACAGTCCTGCACAGAAAGTACAATCCAGAGGCTGGTGACAGCATGAGGTAAATAAAAGAGAACCACTCTGTCTGAAAGTAAAACCCTGTCACACATCCTTCATTCCCCCAAGTCAATAACATAGCAAAATTTCCCTACTCAGCTTAAGCTAAATTATTAACAAACACACACAAGTTTTGGACAGATGTAAGGTGGAGAAAAACACCATCAGTCATGAGAAGGTTACAGCAAAGTTACCCAGGAGTCACCCACRTCACCATGCCCAGAAACACCAGAGGAGAAAGGGCAACACGCTCAGGAGAAGCACGGCCATGAGCAAATGCAAAGAGAGGAAAGCCAAGAGAACTTTCAGCACTGCAGATGGTACAGATGGGGACATACAAGTGATGGGGACACACACGTATGGTTACACGTATGGTAATCAGCTCTGAAAATGGACCTGATTAATTAAGAAGCTGGACATCTAAAAGCAAACAGGAGAGGGGGGGTAAGCTCGAGAAAAGGATTATCAGGGGACTGTCCACACAGACACAAGGTGGAATCACATGCTGGAGGGCACAGAGTGGATGCTAAAAATATCCAGTGTCCAAGATATCAGACAGCATGATGAGGAACAATAAAAGAAATATGCTGATGGCAAAAGATGGCAGGAAGGCAAACAGAACAGCAGATTTGGGACAGAACATAGGGAAAAAAAAACCCAAAATTTGTAGGCTGTGTATATAAACCAACAACACTGCAGAAGTATAACAAAGTCTCTCAAATCAAGGCAATCTAACATTTATGGCCCCAAATATGGTTCTGGAACTAAGATATCTCAACAGTGAGATGGGATTATCTGTGTCTTAGCCATGCTAGTTAACTCTGTCCCAAAAGAGAGGAGAGTAAGTCTGAACAAGCCCAAAGTATGGAGCAAGTCCAAGCAGTCTACGCCACATGATACACTCACAAATGACCAATTCTCAAGGGTTTTCATCTCGTAAGACACTGGTATTCATTACAACTACACTGCATGCAAGAATAATTCATTTTTAAAAACTCAAAAAGAAGAGAAACTGCATGCAAAGCAATACTAACCACATYTGGGAAGATAAATAAAAACAATAAGAGTCCTTAGTAGGAAAAGTACATACACACATACATGCATGTACTATGTGATACTCTTTTTTATTTCCAGGAATTGAACAGAACATACTTGCCCACAGTTATGTGGAAATTCCCTGCCACTTTATTGACATAGAGATGACCATGAATTCTGCATGCATCTGGTGACTGTAATGAATTATCCTCCCTGCATGGAAACAAAAAAGGAATATAATTAGAAAATATTTATTAACAGGAGGRATAGAACTACATTTCTTTCCCCAGGCATAAAGGTTGAGCATAATCATCCACCTCTCCTCTTCATATTTTCCTTCTCCTTTTCCTGAGGAAATTCTTGAGCATACCTTAAGAATAAGCTGGTAAGAATTTAAAACAAGTAAGCCTATAAATCCTCACCAGGTTGGAAACTTCAGAAGGCTTTCATAAAACAAGAGCTCTCCAGAACAAGTAGGAAAAATACTACTTTAAACTTTACAACTCTTAATTAAATAACTGAAAATATGTTATGCATAAACATCACACAAATACAGACCAAGATCACATTTGTTATCCTAAAAGTAACCTTTTCATCTAGAAATATGTTAGCAGCTCACATTTATCAARTGATAAAATCTAATTCAGAAAAAAAAACAAAGCAAAGCTTTAAGGTAAGAATTTTGGATGGTGGATATCAGAAGCAATGAAAAAGTAGATTTTTTTTTTAAAAATAACCTTTACAGGAACAAAAAAAAAAAAACCCCAAACAACAAAAAACCCCACTCCACCGTAACAAAATGCAAGTCTAAAAGGGGCAGTGCAGGGGAGATGACCCAGGCCCTTCTTTACCGTGGTGGCAGTGCTGTTGAAGCACTTTTAAAAGCACTTTTGAATATCACATCTTGAAGAGAGTGTTCTTCCTGCAGCCTATTCTGAATTAACTGCAACATCCTAAAGATTAGAGAAAAGAATAAAAGCAGTTAGCTGTGAAAGAGAGCTTGACAATTACCAGCTACAGTTACAGGCTTTAAATATCGAAGTTGACAAAAATTCATGTCAGAATTAGAAGCATTGCACTGAATATGGAGAGTATTTTCTTTCATTCAAAAATAAGTGAATGTAAATATTACTCAAGCTCTTGTGTTCAGGATAGGGTATAACAAAAATGCTAAAACTATGTGGTCTCCCAAATAAGTTTCAGGTTTTGTTATAGGGCTATCAAGAATACAGATCAAAAACACAACTGAATTACACAATTTAATGAGTTAACTCAATTTAATGAGCAGCCAGTTCACAGAATTACATGAAAAAGATGGAAAGTGTCTTGTTTTTACACTGGGGTGCCGTGGTTTGCTACTATGGCACAGCTTGAGATTCAGGTGTCAAGCTAACTTGTCACTCATTCGAACCCCAATTAAAAGCTGTGTGACCTAATTTGTCTGGAACCAGTAGCTGGTGTTTCTGAGCCCGTGTATACATCTCCTGGCCTGCAGGGGCCTGCAATGACATTCCACAAGGGAGTTCAAACCCAACGCAGGAAATCTTATCAAACTCAGCTATAAGAACAGACTACAGGCCTCAAAAAAAGCACACAGACATTTTTATGGCATGTTGATGAAGCATTTCTCAGGTTTTTTTTTTGGTTTTTTTTTAATGTTTCAAGAATTTTAAGCAATACAGTTTAATATATTTATCAGTTGAAGAGGGTGAGCTTTTCTGGTAAGCAAAATTTATATTCATCTTACGAGAGCAAATATACAGATTTATGAAGTGGGGAAAAAATGTTACTGTGCACAAAGTTTAAACAAAGCCCCAAATACGTCATTACTACTTAATTAAAAAGCCTAAGACAGCAGCATTTTATTAAAAAAATTACAGTGAGACAATTTATTCATAACAGAGATCTCAAGTGATGATAAATGGAAAGTGAATTAATGGCTTCTCAATGGTTTGCACTCAAATTAAAAGCAGGGGCTGCGAAACCCAAGCCAAAGCTCTGCCACGCAACTCTGGAGCGCCTTAAGGTCACTCCCAGCACCAATAAATGCAACAAATAACTGTCCAAACTCGAGGCATATCAGTGCTTTAGAGTCAGTTTACCTTTGCCACTCTCTTTGTTGGGGGCTGAGATCAAATATCACCTGAAACAAAAACAACACACCTAATAAAACACACTGTCAGGAAGCACCCCAGTCCCAGCTGAGGAAGTCAGAAGGAGAAYCAAGATGTTTATAAAAACACGGCATTTAGCACCACACACTCAAGTCCAGGAAGGGACTTGGCACTTCCAGTAAAGCATTCAGTGTTAAATTAAAGTAAATTTCTGATCATCTCTCATTTTTTCCACTTGTTTACATTTAGAATTGCAGTATCTTTTCCTAAAGTTCTTGTAACTTAGATTAGCAGTCTGCCCCTTTCTAATCTTTAAYTATGGAGTGGATAATCTTTAAATAKGGACYRGAAGAATTAAACTGCCACTCACTGCTTCTAAATGATGCCGTTTATATACATGGTTTTGATGCAYGCAATCACAATGAAAAGAGGAGCAATCCTTGAGACAAGGGCCTAGGAACAACTTGTTCATCACCAGGGTCATCTCTCATTAAACACTCCTGTAACCCCASCTACCAGACCACTTACACTCCAGTTAGCAGAAGGTTATCACCAGGAACACTGTGGGCCAAATCAGTTAACATCGGTGTTCTCCAGAACAGTTAATTCAATCACAACGAATGCTCAAACCTACCCAGAGCTACAGCCAAAATAGAGATTAAGTCCAGGGAGCTTCTTCTAAGATTATGATCATCAGGGCAAGTGGGAATATTCAGCAGTAACAGCACGGCAGAAATGAAGGTGCAGAAGAAAAGAGAACGTTGCAAGGAGGAGCAAACAAACCAGCTCCTTCCCCACCTCCTCACTAACACGTACACCCGATGAGGTGGGAAGAGGTGCATGTARGGGTGAAATAGTAAGAATTATTTCTCAATAAGGTTCAATTATTACAGCTGAACTTGCATTTCTGCTTTCTACAAACAACAAAGTATTTGCCTTCGGTCTAATTATTTCAAAGCATATAGAAATACTTGAAAAGCATAGGCTTTTATATCCACAGCCTTTAGTTTGTGATAAAGAAAATTAAAACTTGGAAATATTCTGTGTAGCCCAAATGCAAAGAAAAAAAAATACCATCAAGCAAACCAACCCAGCAGTGCATTAGACCAAGTAAAGAGCAATTTATTTTTAAATAAAGGGGCAGAATAAACTTACTGGTTCATAGATCAGCCCATCTGCAGAGGCAACCATGGTTTCTGCTAAATCCAGAACATCGGCCCCCACATCTATTTCAAGCAGAGAAATAATTGCTCAGAAGCACATAGAGGATCATGAAAAACATAATACTGAAATCAAATTTCAGAGCATACCTTAAACCCAGGAGTAAACTTTCAAAATAAATTACTGGACAAAAAAAAAAAAAAAAAAAAATCTATTTTCCCTGTCCTAACACAGTCCTAACAGATAAACAAGTCTGGCAACAAATACATTAACATGTCAAAAAAGAAGAGGAAAAAAAGGAACAAAAGCAAAAACCACACATCCCCAAAACCCCAGAATATTAGTTTTCAGTAAGTAAAAGCAAATTCAAAATATCGTGGACCGCTGTGCTGTTACAAGGCAAAAAACTCTACTAGGTAGTAAACATAACAGTTTCAAGAGTGTTAAATGATTCATAACAGATCACAGGAATCTGGTATGTTTATGTGCAGTTAAATAATTTATCTGTTCTACAAGCACCAAATCTAAATCAAGATTAGTCAAAACAGGTAAAGTATTTATTCCTCATAATTAAAAAYGCAATTTCCAAACTTCTTCGTGCTAAGCAGAAGAGTATTTAAAGATATAATCTTAAATGAGGAGAATGTGAATTAAAACTCATGAGACAAATGTAAGTACATCTACTTCAAGGTTTAATACAGTCTAAAAAGGAGATTCTTTAAGCTTTGCTTTCATGCCTGATAAAAGGAGTATTCACTGTCTGTCTCTCATGAAGAACTGAAACAGTGCATACAAATAATGGTTCACCACTAAATTCTGCCAAAAGAAGTACTCCCTTCAAATGGGAAGCAAGAGAATGAAATTACTTGATGGTTCAAATACCGCTAAGCAGCAGACCAAATTAACATTCACTAAATTCATGACTGTGATAAATTCTGGCCTGGGGGTCAGCTGTGTCTCACCACAAACTTCTATAATATTTAAGCTAGAGAGAAGCTGGAACAAATTATTTTCTTGCTGACAGGCAAACTAAAGTTCTGGAAGATGTACATAAGACACCATAAATACCGTTTCTCTTCCCTCCAAATCTCATGCCAATTTTATTCTTTCAAYAGAGATATAAAATACTTCATGTTAGCAAGATCATAAAAAAAGTCACTGATAAAATAACAACTTTCACTGGTGGAATACTTACATTGACACCTCATGGCAACCGTAATATCAATATTGATTCTTAATTTACTGGAAAGGAAAGAATGCAAAAAGGTAATAAGTAACATCAAATGTACCATGTCCACTAACATTTTCAGGTTATTTGTAGAAATATATTTAAAGGACAAAATTTACACCAACAGATAAAGACACAGGCCATTTAAAACAGATGAAACGGTCTGGCTGCCTCCTATCAAGAGTGCACGCTTTTCAGTAATGCTTCACATGTAGTTTTTCTACAATGCACTAAATTCCACATAATTCAGTGTATCAGGACAGTAAAGTAGTTACAAATTTGAAACTATAAGTATTTTGAGCACCTTCCTCTTGTTACGTCCTGAAGATGGCCCGGTCTATTTCCAAATCAGAATCCTCCAAAACAGCAAGAGACATTCAAGATCAGGCAGAGAAAAAGCTGTTCCCAGAAAACACTCTCATATAATGAAGACTGTTGTTTTTACTTGCAACACTTATTAAAAAAGGTCTTCTCACAGGCTTCTTTTTGTGATGCTTTTCCCTCAAGTTTCTCACACACTGTTTTTTTCCTAACAGGAATTTTTAGTATTTCTGGTATATATGAGAGCCAATTAATATACGCATATGTATATGCATATGTAGCTTGTTACCATAGCAACTAGCTAACCGGAGTTTTTACAGTTATTTCAATGCAAGAAATGTCATATTTAGAGGTGCTCAGTCTACAGCATCCCCATTACCTTCAAAAAGAACCATGGGTAAATAGCCTCACAGAAATCAACCAACAAAAGAAAAGGTAAGCTCCTTTACTACTTCATTTTCAATTCCAGCYACTAAATGCTTGCAATACATAGAACACTTTAAATCTATTCTTTCCTGAAATGCAAACAATTGAAACTTTCTAAAGAACTACAAAAGGTAAAAATTACCTAGTAAAATCCTTGTCTACTTCATATTCATATTTCATCCATGTGTCCCGATACACCATAAACTCCATTATAGTCAGGAAAGCTATAGTTGTAAACGCTATTAGAGAAACTGAAGGGGAACAACAAATAAAAACACACATAAACAGGAGAAAATTTTAACATTCTAGCATTTGAGTATAACTAGTAAACTATTGATATTTTTAATTCATTTATAAATCCATTGGCTGCTCTTAAAGAAAGGTTCTCATACCTACAGCATTTGCTTTTATACAGGAGGGGAAAAAAAAGGCCTAATTCCTCAAGTGCCATTGACTTAGCAGCAGCTGCGCACAATTTATCAGACCTTCTTGCCAGGCACAATGACATTTTTTCTTGGTGGAAGAGAGCTGGCAAGACAATGTGAGCTTCATCAGTACTGCCTCCCTTTTCCCAAATACTGAAATAACAAAAGAATGTGAATTTCACACCTATTTTATTCACAAAAATTCTCTGAAATCAGGCTACCCAGGTGCTCAGGCTTCCCCTAAAGGCTTTGCTACTATATAGCCAGTAGCAAAGACACGACACTATTAAAGAAAACTATTAGTTCTCAGGAATCAAATCAAGACCTCTCATATGGTAAACACCAAGTTTGCTGCAGTTTTCAGTATTTGGTTGAGAGCTTCTAACTGGTGAGAAATAGCTTAGATAAAAGCAAAACCCCTTCGCTCTCATTAAATCTGTTTGAGGCTATTTCAAGTACCTTTACATCAAGGAAAGTCTTTTTACAGCAAGTACAGTCAGGTACTGGACTGACTGAGAGGCTGTGAAATCCCCACCATGGAGGGTTTAAAAATAGGTTAGACTTTCCTGTGTATATAAAACAAAATGCAGACAAATTCCGTAGCAACCCTAGACAAGCTTCATTCTAGTTTCAAACATCAAGGAACGAGGAAGTGCATCTTGAAATCCCTTCAAGTCTCTACATCTCAGCAATCTGAGATTTTAACATATATATATAGTTTCAGGGGCAAGAAAACAGCAAACAGATAATATGCATTATATTCACTGCTCAGTTACAGAAATGCCCTTATTATGTTACTTGTACGCAGCAGCACAGAACTGTCAAACCCAATTATTTGGAACAATTCCCTCTGGAGTTAAAAAAACATGCAGCTATCCACTCTACCAACATTTGAGGAAATAAAGAACCGAATTGAAATTACCATTAGGAAAATTAAATGGTATATTCTAATGCTAGATGTGCCTTACAGGTCTCCAAAGCAGCCTGTTCAGCATGCTTGCAAAGTTGTACCTTTGAAGGGAAGATCATCCCACCACACTTGGGGCTGGAGTTGGACAGAGGCTCTTGCTACGTGCCTTTAATAAATCTTGGCTTTCAGTTGAAAAAAACTTCAGTTATGCAGCACTGTATTGATTTTTACAGCTTATTTACAACAGTTGCTTTCCACTGCCTTCCATTGACTTCTACAGACTCTGCAAAAGGCAGCTGGAGAAAGACAAGCCCGTTTTTGATAAACTCCAAGTATTTACACAGTGGTCTACAACCCACAAGTGCAATGGAGTTTTAAGATACAGCTTGAAAAGAGAACCTCAGTATGATTCCATCCCTATCATGGGATGGAGCCTGATGCTTTAATTCTGAGGGAAACAATACAGGGGAATGCTGTATTCAATGCCATTACAAAATTTCAACATGTATAATGCCACTGGGATAAGTTGGACAAGGAACTCTAACTTGTGATACTGAGATACAAAATAAAACTACATATCCTGCAGTAGTGTCTAGTTTCTCAAAAGGCTTCCCTTATTCTCTCAAAAGCTATTGCATCCTGAAGATAAAAAGCAGGAAAGCTGYTCTTCATCCTGATGCTGAAGCCAGCCAGCTCTTAGGTACCTCCAGAGAAGTTTTTTCTCCTCTCCAGGTATTGGAAGGAYAGTGCTGAATGCAATCTGCACTTCCAAAGGTCTCAGAAGCTTTGAACAATTAAAAGAGCAAGGTTCAGTGGGACTCCACAAACAAGGAGTTTTATTCTGGTTTTAGCATGGTGCACTTCACTTGCAATTGCGTAGACATGTTTACTGTGCACATTTACACTGGTTTGAGCCTCACTTGTTACAGACAAAAATCTCACTTAAGGTGAATGTACTCTGCCTAACAGGAAAAGATAATGTTTCATCATCTACAAGAGACCAGCTCTGTTAGTCCACGAAAATAATCAAGAGACAACGAAACCAACTATTTTTAAACACACAGATGCCCATCTTCCTCCTATTGAAGTTTCTGTTCCCCAAAATAGCACACTAAATTGAGTCAATGGCCAGCATGAATCACAACAAAAACAACTCAGACCTACCTGTGCCTCCACTTGCTGAAGTCTCTACATAGCTGGCAGGAACCTTTGGAAAGGCATCCAATTCTTTCATCAAATTCAGGGTCTTCTTCCGATTCAGTCGCCTCATCTTCAGCGCCCTCCTCCACTTCTTCCTTCATATATTCCCTCTGATGGGAGAATAAGTGGTTGTGATTAAAAGATGCAAATAATATTGCTCACACCTAAAAACAACTAACAATAAAATTCAAACTGCACAGCTCCGGTAGAGAAGGAAACGAAAGCTTAAGAAAGGACTTTTCGGGGAACACAGGTTAGATGCTCCTTCTTGCTTCAAAAATCAGTTGAAATGGAACTCTACACAGCTGCTTACATTTCGGCTATATCCAGCACATTCAGCCTTGAATTACCATGACGCATTTCTTTCTCAATAAAATTCCTATTTCTATTGAATATAYTGAATTTTTTAAAAGCCTGAGTTCTGAAGTGTGCTAAACAGACCTGAYGATGCATGAAAGTCACTGACTTGGTAGCAGCCATCTAATATATTGCATTAATTCAGAAGGTTTTCAAGCTGTTCTGCAATCTTTTTTTATTCAGCCAAGGTGCAGGATATATTAAAGGAAAATATATGCAACACGCAAAAAGAAAAATATACATTTTGAACATTTACATCTTTTACATTTTCAGTCCTTTATGATAATCACAAAATTATTTTTGATTTGTGTGTGCATATATATTGTTTGGGAACATATATCTACATACGTTCCCTCCCCCCAAACAAATTAAGCTAGTCCTACTTCCAGCCTTCAGAATCTCCTTTTTGTCCCCAAAAGGGATTTCTGTTCCACTTGTACATGTCATTAATACAATAAACAGCACAATGCTGAGAGAAGCTGCTTGTCCAGAAAATACAGTCTCAAACTGTTTCCAAATCATGCAAACGTGCCCACAACCTTGCCCYGCCAATATGTTGTATGTTTTAACAAGCTGGCACCATTGGTTTCCTTCTGAAACTCTTTGCCCAGGATTCTGAAGCCAGAGAAAACCGTTTGATTACTACACACTTACTGTATTCTAAGAATATGTCTTAGTACCATCTCCTACTTAATTGCACTGCAGCAGAAAGCTAATCTATGCTCTTGACATGAGAGATTCCTCATCAGCGTGTTGTAGAAGTCTGTTAATTATTCTCCCCCATTCTAGAAGCACGTCAGCTATTTGGCATGGCCTAAAGAAATTACTCAAGAGATATTCCCTTTTCTGCCCCTCCCCAGTGCTATTTCATGGTAAAAATATCACAGAAATAGGCTTCAYGGGAAATAGAAGCATACAAATAAAAAAACACAACCTATATCTGCAGTTTACTGAATTACACCGAATTACTTGAAAACCCAGTGAGAATATACAGAGCTTGCACCTGTTTAAAAGAAAATAAAGAGAGAAAGTGCATTCTCTAAAACATTTCATTCTATTATTCTCCTATTTGGCAGTAACAGCCAAATCAGCCACCAGGGCTGAACCTGTGCACCAGGGTGCACACGAGCAAAGCAATTACAGTTRAAGTGGGCAGAGAAGACAACTCCTGCAAATGAAGTTTGATTATATGGCATAAAAGCAATAAAATAAAGTCAGAATAAATTCCTATCCTCAATACATCTGTTTCAAGGAATTCTTGTAATTCCCCTCCAAGGGGCTCACAGAAAAGCAGGAAAAGGTGGTGSGGACGGCCTGACGTGCTTGGCACTCCCGTTTTCTCTGCAATTTCACGGAGAGAGGAAAGGCCGGCCAGAGGGAAGAATTTAGAGACACTTTCCTCCTCCAGGCTTGGAGGACTCGGGCTCGCTTTCGTAGGAAAGCGCCTGTGCACCAGCGGGCACGTGGATGCTCCGAATTTGGCTAAAAACGCCCCTTTTTTCCCGCGAGCTGCTCTGACCCGAGGCAGAGCCCGCCCCCGCCCGCCGGCCCCGCTGGAGC